AGCAGAATAAGGTTAAACGTCAATTAGTTGACAGTTAGTTTTGTTGTCTGTTGAAACCTGAAACGTTTTTTTGCAATTGTGAATGCACGAAATTTAGTTTCTCTTACGTGTTTTGTAAGTTTTATGAAGATGCCATTTTTATTCTCCAATCAAGAGTTAGCGGATATTCATTTTCTGTATGGCTTTGTAAATGGAAACGCAGCAGAAGCAGCCAGAGAATTCGCACGAAGATTTCCAAACAGACGACATCCAACTCGCTCAGTATTTGTTAGAGTGCATCGCCAAATAATTGAAAATGGTTTTGGAAATCTCCAAAGGGATCAAAACATAAGTGTTCGTCAGCGCAGATTTACCCATATGTTTCTGCGTGAGTTTGATAGAGATCCGACCACAAGTGTTAGGAGAGTTTCTGGTGCCTTGGGAATTTCAGCAAGCCATGTTCACCGTGTTCTTAGAAATGACCATAGACGTCCTTACCATTTGCAACCTGTGCAAGGACTACAGCCAGGGGACGGAGAACGAAGAATCACATTTTGTCAGTGGATTCTTGATAGAACTGATAATAATAGGGAGTTTTTAAGTAACGTTTTATGGACCGATGAGTCATGCTTCACTAGACGTGGAGTGGTAAATTTTCATAATCAACATATTTGGTCGCATGAAAATCCGCATGCAGTTCTGGAAAGAAATTTTCAGCATGAATTTAGTGTGAACGTGTGGATTGGTTCTACCGTAATCGACTATTTGGACCCTACCTTTTGCCTGCAAGGTTAAATGCTGCGACCTTCACGGAATTTTTAAAGGCTGAACATACAAATATGTGGGATGATGTTATGTTAGATTTAAGAAGATAGGCCTGGTTCCAGCTTGATGGTTGTCCAGCTCATTATTCGAGAATAGTTAGAAACTGGCTGGACGAAAATTATCCAGAAAGATAGATTGGCCGTGGAGGACCAGTCGCCTGGCTTCCACGATCCCCTGACCTAAATCCATTAGACTTCTTTGTGTGGGGATTTCCAAAAGAAAAAGTGTACCAGACTCCCGTAACCACAAGAGATATGCTAATATACAGAATCAGGAATGCATATGATGAAATAAGGCCTTATTTGAATAATGCGATCATTCGTAGATGTGAATTGTGTATTGAACAATTGGGTTTACATTTCGAGCAACTACTTTAGATTTTGTATGTTTGTCCTAACTATCCAATAGCATTTTAGTTGGAAACAATTAATTTAATTTGTTAAAAATAATATTGGAAAATTAAACAAATTAATATTCTGTTTTTTGTGTTTATTTGGAGTTAGGAATTATTGCTGTGTTTAAAAACACAATCTAAACGATCATCTTAATCACTTGTAATGCCCAAATCGAAAATGTAAAAAAATATTCTTTTCCCATAAATAATTAAAAATGCATCGAATCTTAAAACTCGAAATATCTCGAAAACGGCTAACTATAACGAAAACTCACAGGAGAGCTTTTTTATGTTGAAAAGTGCGAAGAATCAGTTTTTTTATTCAAAAAGCAAAAAATTGCACTAAGAAAAAATTTTCGGTCATTTTAATACACTACAGGTACAGTAGAGAGCGCCCTCTAGAGGCTACAGTAAAACTATGCCCATGATTCGTTTTGTCGTACCAGAAAACCCTTGTATACCAATTTTCACTGTTACAAAAATTAGTATCTAATGAATTCATTATTAGTGGGTGTTCTTTTTTCTATGTCATTTAGTAAACGAGAATCCCAGGAGGATAACAAACTCTAAAGTTTGTTGAATATGAAAATGATGGTTATCTTACGATGTCTATTCACACAGCCATGATACAGCCTAACGAGGCTTTAAATTAGCATATATCTCCTCCAAGTAACATGATAATGCAACGACCTTACGCTTAATTAGAATTTTCGGTAAGACAATAGCAATCCGAAACTGAGAAACCCGAGCGATGTTTCCCTATATAACCTCATATCCATTCAGAGCGTGGCGAATTATTCTCCCTCTCCGGTCCGCGTCCCCGGGAGTGTGACGTCACTCGCCGACCTACATCGCTCTCCCCCTGTCCTTTATAGTACAGTCACACTAGCGTTGTCGGAAATATTTTCTTATCCTCGTCAAGGGAAAATATCAATCTAATAATAGCACTGACTGTGAGGTAAACTGATGTCAAATTCAAATTATTTATTATCCATTATACGTTGAGATATACATATGTATGGGATTCGTGCACTTACACATGTAACAATAAATAAGAATGTACAATAAAAACGACAAACAAAATAGCACTTATAAACAATCAAATTTTGAGACGGCATAAAAAAATTTAGATACGAGAATTTTTTTCTACTGCAATCTGGATGACAAAATGGAGCATCACTTAATATCCTTCGGTAGAATATTAAATACTTTAGATCTCAGTATGTCGGACGATGTCATACTAATAGTGTATTTAGTAAAAGCTACATTCAAATCGTTAACCTGCCTGGTTTTATAAAATATAATAATTAGAAACTCATCTTTATTATTAAAATCATACACAGACAGTTCATATAAAAACAATGAGGGAATGGTTACGATTTTTAGTCCTGATTACGAGGGGTGTCTTTAACTTTTATGGAAACATAATAAGCCGCGCGGATCGAACGTCAGTACTGAATCTTAACCTCACTCTTTAGTAAACTTAAATTCAAAGTTTCACAAGAATACGTGCAGTGTTCTCACTACAGTGTCACCAAGTCATTAGAAAAATGGAACTCAACCGAGAACATTTTCGCGCCATATTCTATTACAGCTTTCAGAGACAATTATCGCAACAAGAATGCCTTGCTGAGTTACTGTCTGTTTTCGGCAACGAAGCGCCACATCAGTCGACAATTTCCCGTTGGTGACCATTCCATGTCAAACTGTCAACGTTATAGAAAAAAGCTTATTCTCCTTCCACCTGGTAAAAAATGAACTAAATGACAGACATAGAATCACAGTCTCAGCACGCTTCTCAGCGAAATTTGATCTTTGAAATGCCATTCAGAATATGATCTCGTAAATAATTTTGAAGGCATATAACTATGACTAAAATGACTGAACTATCCGGCTACATTTCTGTCTCCCACCATCACCCTTTCCTCCTCCAAGCTGTGACGTCACTACCGGCCTCGATCCAGCATCGATTTCACGGTTATTTACGGTTTTTGGACATGTCCCCCAGGATTTATGGCCATGCGATTAAATATCATCATAACATCTCTTATACGATGAGTATCATAGAACTGCCGTCCTTATTGAAAAACTTTTTGCAAAACAAGAGGCTGTCATCTATCTCGGAAGTTTGATGATATGGTGACGCAAAATTCGAGGGTATCGCTTAGGAAGAAAGCTTTCCACTTCCAGGTATACTGGATGCTCCTCGGGCATAAATGGAAGGTGATGGTTGGATCGTAGGGGAGTAGGGGTTCCCCGGGGTCGACGAGAGGGTCATATCGTTTTCAGAAATATAATCATCATTTTTTTTTTCTACACTAAAGTAGGTCCCTGCTTCAAAGAATCTGTTCCAAACCATATGGCAAGGGCAAGGATTGATGTCACACCGAAGCGACTCTCTTTCCTCCTCATGTAATATATATATATATATATGTAATATCTTACTGTAAATAACAAGTGAAAAAATTTTCAGCCTTATCAGTTGGACATTCCGGTTTTTATACTGCTTTTTTTTAATTCACTAACGCTCTAAAAATGAATATTTCAGCCGCAGTAAAGAATCAACGTTGGCGGATTTTGGTTCTTGACATCCTTTACGATCGGTTACGATGCCTAGAGTACGGAGACCTGTACGATTTCGTCAACTTAGTGAGTTTGATAGAGGCCGTATAGTGGGTCTTCGGGAAGCTGGACTTTCTTTTCGGGCAATTGCAGTTAGAGTGCAAAGAAGTGTAGACACTGTGGTTAGGTGTTGTCAGGCGTGGCTTCGAGAAGCCCGTACGCAAAGAGCAAGGGGCACTGGACGCCGCCGTAGAACAACAGACCGTGAAGATCGCCGCCTAAGATTATTGGCCTTAAGGGACCGTTTCTCCACTACCAGGTCCATTGCAAATGAATGGTTTGCAGAACACGGAAGACCTATTGGCATGCGAAGTGTTTACCGACGAATGAGAAGTTTTGGCTTGTTTTCATACCAGCCACACTGGGTCCTCTCTTTAACTTGAGAACACCGACGTAATCGCCTTGAGTGGTGCAGACAACGATCACTCTGGGATCAGGAATGGAACAGTATTGTCTTTAGTGACAAGTCTCGATTTTGTTTAGGCATGCACGATGGTCGTGCCAGGGTTAGAAGGCGACGTGGTGAAAGGAGGAATCCACAGTTTTTTGTTGAAAGACATGTTCATCACACTGTTGGAGTTATGGTTTGGGGTGCTATAGCTTATGGTTCCAGGTCACCTTTAGTCTTCATCAGAGGTAACATGAACGCGCAGCGTTATATCCACGAAGTTCTAGAACCCCATCTTTTACCCTATCTTGGCACCCTGGCAGATCCAACTTTCCAACAAGATAATGCCCGACCACATGTTGCAAGAGTGACAATAGACTTCTTTCAACATAATGATGTCACATTGTTACCATGGTCACCAAGATCTCCCGACTTATCCCCAATTGAGCACGTGTGGGATATGATGGGTAGGAGATTGCTCAATTTGCAATGAAGCACTTCGAGAGGAGTTGGTGGTTGCCTGGAATGAGATACCACAGGAGGACATTGACCACCTGATCAGAAGCATGCCTAGGCGCGTTGGAGAATGCGTAGCACATCAGGGTGCATCCACACATTAGTAAAGGTCAAAGGGCTTTAAAGCAGTGCAATCATTTTGAAATTTTTATCATTTACTTATTATGCTTCATTAAGTACTTATACAAAATTTTATTAAAATAAAACCATTTAAACGGGGTGTTCGGATTTATATGTCACTTAGTATATTATTATAACAATAAAATCTCATCTCAGTTGTTAACGTATGCAAAGTATAACTTTTAAAATGTCTATTTTTGTTCCAGGATATAGACTACGAAGGCTTCCACAAGTTCCTGGATACGTTCTTGGAGGTACGAACGCCGGAAGAGTTATGCAGACACCTATTTCTGTCGTTCATGAAACGATCGGAGCCGAAGAACATCGAAGGTAAAGCCTTCAAGGAAATGACGGTACTCAGCTCCACGACAGCTTGTGCTCCCGTTACGTCGCATAACAAAGGTGTTGCTTGCTTTCTAACGCTTCATTTTTCCTATTCCGTTTCGTTTGCTTATATACTGGGTGACAGAAAAAGGTAAAGAATTTTTTTCATATCGATTTATCTTGCCATGAACAACTAGTGATGAAATGGTCACGTTTTTCACTCTCACATTGTTGAACCAGCTTCCGCAGTCAGTTGACGAATTTAATCATTTTAGTAGTAAGAGACACTGAACATATACAGGGTGGCGCATCGAAAACGAAACAGACGCATTTACTGGCAGCTCAGTTTTTTTTTTTGGAAAAACGCTCCGACCCGTCGATTCTGTTTTAGAGGGCGGCACAAGTTTGGCAAAAAATCACGTTAACACGTGCAGCCCCCGGGACGGGGATGACACCAACCCTAAAATCTTAAATGGAAAGGGGGGTCGAGTGTTACCTTATTTTGAAGTTCTTTCAATTCCCTTTATAATGATGTAAAATACATGAGCTTCTGTTCAGTAGTTTTGAAGATTTATTGATCCAAAGCTTAAAGTAGACTTTAATAGGTATATCAGATTAGTTTGTACTACTTTCAGAAGAAATTTGACTAAAAAAAATTACTTAATAAGTATACTAAGTGACATATAAATCCGAACACCCAGTTTAAATGGTTTTATTTTAATAAAAGTTGGTGAATGTATTTATCTTACTGTAAATAACAAGTGAAAAAATTTTCAGCCTTATCAGTGGGACATTCCGGTTTTTATACTGCTTTTTTTAATTCACTGACGCTCTAAAAATGAATATTTCAGCCGCAGTAAAGAATCAACGTTGGCGGATTTTGGTTCTTGACATCCTTTACGATCGGTTACGATGCCTAGAGTACGGAGACCTGTACGATTTCGTCAACTTAGTGAGTTTGATAGGGGCCGTATAGTGGTACTTCGGGAAGCTGGACTTTCTTTTCGGGCAATTGCAGTTAGAGTGCAAAGAAGTATAGACACTGTGGTTAGGTGTTGTCAGGCATGGCTTCGAGAAGGCCGTACGCAAAGAGCAAGGGGCACTGGACGCCGCCGTAGAACAACAGACCGTAAAGATCGCCGCCTAAGATTATTGGCCTTAAGGGACCGTTTCTCCACTACCAGGTCCATTGCAAATGATTGGTTTGCAGAACACTGAAGACCTATTGGCATGCGAAGTGTTTACCGACGAATGAGAAGTTTTGGCTTGTTTTCATACCGGCCACACTGGGTCCTCCCTTTAACTCGAGAACACCGACGTAATCGCCTTGAGTGGTACAGACAACGGTCACTCTGGGATCAGGAATGGAACAGTATTGTCTTTAGTGACGAGTCTCGATTTTGTTTAGGCATGCACGACGGTCGTGCCAGGGTTAGAAGGCGACGTGGTGAAAGGAGGAATCCACATTTTTTTGTTGAAAGACATGTTCATCACACTGTTGGAGTTATGGTTTGGGGTGCTATAGCTTATGGTTCCAGGTCACCTTTAATCTTCATCAGAGGTAACATGAACGCGCAGCGTTAAAACGACGAAGTTCTAGAACCCCATCTTTTACCCTATCTTGACACCCTGGCAGATCCAACTTTCCAACAAGATAATGCCCGACCACATGTTGCAAGAGTCACAATAGACTTCTTTCAACATAATGATGTCACATTGTTACCATGGCCACCAAGATCTCCCGACTTATCCCCAATTGAGCACGTGAGGGATATGATGGGTAGGAGATTGCTCAATTTGCAACGTCCTCCTCAGACTCTAGAAGCACTTCGAGAGGAGTTGGTGGTTGCCTGGAATGAGATACCACAGCAGGACATTGACCACCTGATCAGAGCATGCCTAGGCGCGTTGGAGAATGCGTAGCACATCAGGGTGCATCCACACATTATTAAAGGTCAAAGGGCTTTAAAGCAGTGCAATCATTTTGAAATTTTTATCATTTACTTATTATGCTTCATTAAGTTCTTATACAAAATTTTATTAAAATAAAACCATTTAAACTGGGTGTTCGGATTTATATGTCACTTAGTATAGTTTTATTTAAGCTTTAAATCAATAAATCTTCAAAACTACTGAACTGAAGTACATTAATTTTATATCATTATAAAGGGAATTGAAAGACCTTTAAAATAAGGTATCACACGACCCCTTTTTCCGTTTAAGATTTTGGGGGTGGTGTCACCTCCGCTTAGGGGGCTGCACGTGCTAACGTGATTTTTTGCCAAAATTGTATCCCCCTCGAAAACAAAATCGACGGATTTGAGCGTTTTTCAAAAAAAAACTGAGCTGCCAGTAAATGCGTCTGTTTCGTTTTCGATGCGCCAAAAATTTTCAAAATCGGATGAACATACGTAGCTGTTTACCTTTTTTTGTCACATAGTATACGATGTCACAATTCATTTGCTTATACGATGCGGAAATGTCATACGAAAGACAGATTGAGTAATCGTACCATATGCGGAATTTAGCTTCCCTAAGAAAAATTACATACAGCGCAAATCGATCATTGACGCATCTGCTACTCGCTCTTACACATACACATGAATTGAATAATGGGCGCCGTTATTTTCACTGGCTTTCCGAAAACACAGATTCAACACAGACAATGTTGACATTGAAGTTGTATCTGCGGGCCTAAAGTATTTACAAGGGACACTAGACAAGAAATCTAGTCATGAAAAACCTAGCCCAGCATATACAGGGTGTGTCAGAACTATTGGGATCAAACTTGTAGGGGTTACGCAGTGTAACAGTAGAAAACATTTGAGTACAGGGACCCATATCCGGCACTTGTGTGTTGTTATCTTTAAAAACGATAACAGAGATTGTAGCTGCATTCCATATCGCCTTAGTCTCAAATCTCAAATGTTTCCTACTGTTACACTGAATAACCCCTAGAAGTTTGATCCCTTAGTTCTGAAACACCCTGTATATGTTTAAAAAAACGTCGTAGAAAAAGGAAATGGTGGGTGTACCCAGGGCCGAATAATCCTGCCACGCCCTCTAGACAATGCAATTCTCGGGAGGACCCTTTATCCTTTTCTTACTTTTTTCAAAGCATTTTGCTATCACAACGCAATTATATTCAAAATGATAATAAGCCAAGCTTAAGCTGATTGAAATATACAGCTAAGTATCTAAATTGACGATAAAACCTTGCTATACAAGACCCTGAAGGCTATTCTGAGATTACTTAATTTGATTTTTAACCTTGCGTGTTAGGCCAAAATTGACAAATTTTTGGTCTTCGCAGACTGTAACTCATGCCTTTAAACAAACATTCTTGCAAGCATTTAAAGCTGTCTCATAATTTCTCCATCGTCCTGATGACATTCGCAGAGCGACGAATCTTGTTCATGAAGTAAGAAATGCTCTTCATGAATTCCGCAATGAGCAATGGCGGGGATGCTTGACTCAAGCATTCCTCTCTGGAAGGCGGCGAAGTCGCTCAAAAATGGAGAGCGTGAACAAATCTCACACATTCACGGTCCCGGAGGCATTGAGGAGGTTGAGGTTTTCGCCGATGCCATGGAAAGACAGTTCTCTCCCAACTATGATCTTGATAATGACCTCGACGAGGAGCAACACATCGTAAGATCTGTCAGGAGATATTTTAGGGACAACGGCGTCAATGACAGTCGCGCTATCGTTAGTGATTTTTCTTCATCAGAAGATTCTTCTTCGGAAGCTTCTTCAACCGAAGATCTGCTTAGCACATCTGCGGCATCTCCTGAGATCCCGCATTGCACACCGGCAGAGATTCAAGGTCATATTAAAGACCTTCAAGTGCGTGAAGCACCTGGGGAGGATCAAATCACTAATAAGGCGCTGAAGCTTGCTTTTTTAAGGATCCAGTACTTCCCATCCGCAGATGTTACAATGATTCCAAAGAAGGTGGGTTCGATATTTCCCCAGGATTATCGTCCCATTAGCCTTCTGTCAGCTCCGTCTAAGCTCGCTGATGTGATTCCTGACGTGCAATTCGGTTTTCGGTCTGAACATAGTACGGAGCTACAGGCGGTTAGGCTGATGGAACATGTAACCAGAGGATTCACCTTTCACGAAAGTACTGGCATCCTGCTTTTGGATGTCTCAAAGCCCTGGATCTACTCTAACATATCGAGGATGCTTCGTCACAAGAGATCTTTGTGGCAACGGTTTAGGAGGAGTGGCCATTCACAAGATTACGTGTCTTATCGATCCTTTTCTAACCTCCTATCTAGAACGTTACATAATGCCAAACATGCTTATGAACGAAAACTCGTTACCTCCAAAAATAAGAAGAAGCTGTTTCGGTATCTAAGAACAAACCTGAATTCCAAAGTTTCATCACCTCAGATCCGCGACGCTGACGGTCATCTCCACATGGATGCCACCGAATCTGCCAACTTACTGGCAGAGTCCTTTAGTGATGACTTCGTCGATGAGCCTAATGGAGACCTTCTACCGACCACTATCTGCCATAGGTGTCCCAACAGCCTTTGCGAAGTTGAGTTCCTGCCTGAAGATGTATTAATGCACCTGCGAAATCTGAAGACCTCTTCCTCCCCTGGTAAAGATGGGATGACGGCTGCTGTACTTAAAAACTACGCTTCAGCACTGGCCCTACCATTAAGCTTGATATTCACATCGTCTTTTAGATCTCATACCCTACCCTCATGCTGGCTGCTGCTGTTACCCCTGTATTCAAAAAGGGCGGCAAACCCTCCGCTAAAAATTATCGACCAATAAGTCTCGTTCCTATCGCCGCCAAAATAGCTGAAAGAATCATATTAGATAAGCTCCAGTCATTTGCTTTCGAAAATGACCTTATCCACTCTCTCAACGATTGGACTCAGTATCTGGACACAAAGACTGCTGTTGATATCATCTACTTAGATTTTTCTAGGGCTTTCGATCGCGTACCACATAGAAGGCTTCTGTTTAAGTTGGAATGTATGGGAATA